TAGATTCTGATGACACATCGCAATTAGGCATACAGAAAATGTACAAGCAGTCGTTCAAAAAGATAGATGAATGGTGCGAATTGAAAAGCCAAAAATATTGCAGAAATGAGAAAATGAATGTCATCTGACTTGTCAGCCATAAACAGACATACACTCACACATAAACGTCCAAGGCTGGTCAAACCAAGGACAGACAAACATACTGGCAGACATCTCAACGACTAACTAATGAGCAAATGTTAGATCCAAAGTAATTATATTTGTCAAGATTATATCATGTAGAAAGATGCAAGACTAGATACTGACTAGTCCAACTGGAAACATAACTAGACTAAGTGAACTATAACAAATCTTCACTGAGAACAATATCAAACTACAATGGCAACTTTAATGCAAAGACGGTTATTGTAACATGGAACATCTTTGTGCAAAAAATATGATAAACAAGATCAACAAGGAAAGGCGGTGTTCAATGAACGCAACCCCCATATGACCCAGCAACAAGAACCAATGGCAAGGAGCCCAGGCGGACATAAAACAAAAACAGGACAGGGCAAAGACAGAGCACGGACAGGCCATAATTGACTTTTAGGAAATTACCATATGACCTTTTACATCTTAAATGCATTAAACATTGGCAAATATAAACATCATATCAAAAGAAAAAACTTGATAGCACTGTGTAAGCTAAGTGATTAATCACCACAAACTTAGTTAACTCTGAGACTGAACATAATTCTATTATACATTGCCTCATGAAATTATGCATGGAAATACATGGTAAGTCTCAAGAAACATGAAACTTGTATATTTGAACCATTAATACTCAATAATTGCTTAGAATTAGGAAAGTATGCAGTCAACTTCATTTTATCAAACAGATTCAACAAACATTTTGCATCTACCATCAATAACTAAACACAATTCAACAATAAATTGCTTTTACAACAATTATTGCATGAGAATATACTTTGAGTTTCAGTTTCAAGAACTTGTATATCTAGTCCTATTTTGCAACAAATATTTGAATGTAATGCAAAGTCACATATCACAGAACACTGTGAAGTTTGGTAAATTCAAGGGAAACAAATCTTGAGGGCTTAAAGTGCAATGAAGAATTTAAATTGAAAGAAACTCCCAAGAGTTGTCTTTCTTGGTAAACCCATTAGAACAAATTAATCAAAATACTGTAAGATGCAGAATACAAACATCACAATTAAGTACATAACAATGAATCATTACAACAGAACATGTCAGATACAGTTTAGGTGAAAATGTGATGATTCAAACATTATACTGCAATACAAATGATCATTTTCCAACAACAGAAAAAAATAATTTCAAAACCATTTATAAATACAAAATATAACTGCAAATTGTATGTTATCAAAGTAATTAATACTGTAGGTAGGAATATATTTTGAATGATGGTACAAAATCTAAAAGGTAATTGTTGGTACTGAAAGCACTTTGCAAAAAGAGGCATTAAGAGTTTAGTAGCATCAACAATAATATAATTGATGAGAAATATGGCATAATTAATGGCAATGAAAATATGGCATAATCAATGGCAATGGAAATATGACATGATCAATGTCAATGAAAATATGACATATGACATCTTCAATGGCACTTAAAATCATACCGTCTAAAAAGTGAATATCACGGCACATTACCTATACAAATCTGTCAAACAATACATCGTATAATATCATGTTTGTAACTACATAATAATTGAAATTCTTGTCACAACAGTGAAACAAGTTAATAAAATACCAATTTCAACAGTAAAACAATAGCTATGAAATCAACAACTCTGTAGAAATCAAGTCTATGAAATCCACCTTAAACTTAAGTCTGTTACACTGTTTCGCTGTAAGAGCGTCTGTTCCACATAGTTGGCAGGTAGATGAACTGTTAGTCTTACGCTTTGCACTAGGGGTTTTAATACAACATTTAGCATTGTGACCATTTTGATCACAAAGCTGACACTCAATTTGTCCATCAGCTTTATCAAAGCCGTTCCAATTACAAGTATTTTGGAAATGCCCCCTTCCTAGGCACTTATAGCACGATCCCCGTGGAGTCCGTGGACGTGGTTTACTTTGGCCGTTGTTAGAACTGGGTGCAGCAGGTACATGTAGAGCATTGGTGACCAAGTCATTTCTTGCGTAAGCAAAGGAGCTATAGTGTACTGTTCTATAACCGTGTGCCTCACCGATTTTTGCAGAATGCAAAGCATCACGATATGAAGTCGTTCGACTGGCACGAACAAAGAATGCCAATTGATCTGGTAAGCCCTGAATAAACTTGCTTATTATGTCGCGTTCCGGTTTTCCAAAGTGATGACCATTTTCACTGACAAGATAGTGAAATTCCTCAAATGGTTGTTGTGGATCCAGAGTAAGTCACTTTCGGAAATGTAAATTGGGTCACTGGTATTCGAGAATTCCTTTGAAAATTTGATCTTCACCGCTTCCCAAGAATACTTGTCTGTTAAAGTCATGAACCAATGTAGTGCGGGTCCTTTCAAATGGAGATGAAACGCAGCAATTGCCCGTTGTGGCTCAGTTTCAGAGTGTATGTTTGATAAGGTGAGGAAACTTTCAAATTCTGTAATAAACTTTGAAGCATTCTCATGCATGTATTCAGAGAATTTCTGAACTATTTTGTCGAAAAACTGAACACTGTCATTTGGCACGAGATAGGTTGTACCTGTGGCTGGTGCAGCTGTTGTTGGAACAACACCAGGCGTGGCTGGAGAACAGATAGTGTGTGAATGATGTCTACCGGCGACTGGGGTGAATGGAGCTATTCCGAACGGGTCACTTAGCAAATTCCTTCTGTCCCCAGGTGCTAACATATTTGGGTCCGTGGAGAGGTTCATTACAGAGTTCAATATGAATTCACAGTTCCACAAATTGTCTAAAATCACGGCTCAACAAAAAATCATGTCAAGCATCAAGCCGACCCATCGCACGTGGTTCCGATGATTTGGCATTTTAGCGCAGGAAATGTACCTCAAATTCATAAAAATTAGATTTTCAAAGTTATTAAATATGTCCATTTAGATTATCCATCATGTTGTGTTTCTATGTAATTGGGGAATTATATTAAAAGTCTTTTTAAAGTATTATTTTTATTTTGTTTTCCACCACTTGATTGCCAACTTGCATACAAAAACAACGTTCCAAAAGTAATAGTTTTTAGTTCGAACTAAAGGTGTGACAACACTAATTTGTGATGTTCAACAGACTCTGCCCATTACATCCATGAATATAACACTGTTCTGTTATTTCAAAGCGTTAGATATTTTTACATTTTAAATGAGTATCTTATATAACCGAATAGTAATTTGATTAAATTTAAAATAAAAGAAAACAAAGAAATACATGTAAGTCAGGGAAAAACAAAGCAAGAATGTAAGTGTTTGTATTGCTGTAAAAGTTAAAAGACAAGATTACAAAAAAAAAACAAAAACAAAAAAAAACATCGATTTTATTTTAGTTCACTGCAACAATTAATAAATCATTATCTTATATTCATAATACATGAAGCATAACGATATACTGAACATTGAAATGGATGGAAAAATGTCAGTTTTACATGTGTATTAATAGTAATGAAATATTCTTTTTATTAGTGTCTTAATTTAGTAAATTAAGAAGTTGAAGGCAGTTGAAAACAAAATAATGTATTTTTTAATAAAAGATGTACGAAATTAAATGTACATTGCATTACTTTTTAATGGATGCTTCGAATCGTGAGAATTGATTTAGTAATTAATCTCTTTACGGTGTATATAATTTTGTGCCTACATTTGCTAGTGACTGACAGTAAAACTCAGAATAAATGAGGTGAAAGGTAGGTAAACAGACAGTGGTACTGTCTCTATAAGGACAAAATACGCAGTGCAACACTCAGATTTGTGTTACTGTAGTTTAATATTACATTTTGAAATCATATGATTTGTTTGTAACACACATGTGTCGTGTAACCTATCTAATGGTGACCGCTACCATAATAATAATTATAAGTTATCACCGACAGTTAAGTAACTATTCACTACATTCCACAAAAAGTTACCAATATCACATGCAGTATATAAATGGACAAAATTGTCCATTTGGCTATTAACAACATTGTCATTTAACAAAGGTATTCAAACGTCCTTTTTAAGGTGTTCATCAGCATCATAACGTCTGTTCTGCAAAAACCATTAATGTTATTTAAAAAGTCTTAAAATTATAAACTAGCCAACATGTTAAATCAAAAGCCTTGTTGAATCACCCTTAGGATATGTTGCCTGCTTTTTAAATTTGTCTTTTGACGTCTTGTCTGTGATACGCAGGCTTCATAACCTCTGATCCCCTTTCAAAATTCCATTTTATTTAGTTCCGCCCATTGTTTTCTCGTTTAGGGCACACGCTTTTTATTACTTGGGGACCATACGCCGCTTTTCATGGAATGGCACGGAAGTGTCACATTGAAGGTTCCATGATAACCGCCGTATGAACACATCTGCGGATGTTTCTAAATTCAAAATTTTGCTATTTCATGTTTAAATGTTGAATTCTGCTTAAGCCGGTGCTAGGGGGCGTGGACGGTAACTTGCACTTTCCAGTACCGTCCATGTACAGGCTCAATCAAACCGAGCCTGCAACATTTTCAATTTTGCCGTGTTGGGCTTTCTTTAGGAATTCTGTATTTATCTATTTTATTTGAATTATTTATAGTATAATATATTATTTCAGACCCATGCGGGCACTTAAGTATCATGTACTTTGCTTGTTTGTTGAATCACCTCTGAGAAGTCAATAACAGAAAATCTTGATAACTTGCGGAATATTATTTTGATAACTGACACGGACTTCCAGGAAAACATGACAAATACATATAAATTGTCTTCAAAATAGAACTTAACCTTTCAAATTAGATAAATAAGACAAAAACTGAACATTTTCTCATACATGTCATATTTATTGCCTAGCGTTGAAAAAAACTATAACACGTTTGATTGTAGATTCCAAGAAATAATCATATATGAAAAATATTGTTAAAATTCAAGGTCTAAAGATCAAACTGGACCTGGGTAAGCTTCACGTCGCCGTTAATGCGAAGAGTGTCGAACTGGCTCATTCCATGTATTCGATGGTTGAACACTACTTAATGCTGATAGTTAACCTTATACTGAAACCAATCATTAAAGCAAGTCAGAAAAACAAATAATCAAACATCATCAATGACATTTATACGTTGTTACAAATTACATAAATTTCAATATTGAAGGAAACTTGTTTTGATCTTTACAAAAAATCGATACGTTATAACTTTTTGTAAAGTAAAATCTTTATTTTTGTCATAAAAACATATAAACATTTAGTTTATGAAAAAAGACAAACATTTTAAATGTTAGGGCCTTATGACCAAAAGAGTATTTTTTCATAAAACATGTCTTATTTAGAAACTGGCACAATTATGGTAAACAACTTTTGACTAGAAGATTTGGACACGTTGGACTAACTGTTAACATCATTTCAGCACCGTTCATAATGTGTTTGTCACTGGTCCTTAACACAGTTCAAATTGTTGTTAATGAAGAAATGTAATGGTTTCACGTTAATGTTTATATTCTGCTTAAATTTTGTTTAAAAAATACCTTGTACCAATTCGGCTCAACTAATATCTCTAGCTCAAATCTTTGATTTGGCATGAAAGGGAAATCGGGCGAGTGTCTCTCTTCTTTACCCCAACCCCCTTGTTTGTGATTCGTTACGATAACATTTTTGTCCTTGCCGTAATTAAACCTGACATCAAAGCACATTCCGATAATGTTTGGCTCATTCTCGTTGCTCTTTTGAAGGTACACCGTAAATCTGTAATGAGAAATCTCATGATACGCACTCGTTTCCCATTATGTGTGTTAAGAACACAAAAGGTTTAACAAGAACCAAACTATTGATATGATCGTCGTAAAATGCAGTTAATCATGTGGGCATTTAAAGTGTGTTGTGGTTTTTACTTAACTTAACTAACTGATTGCTGAAATTATTATAAACAAAAATAACAATGTATAACGACGGAAGTTACATAGTCGTAACCGAGTGACATCGCGTTACAAAATACACTAAATATGTATTTGCCTACATATTCGGGGCGCGAAAGGTAATTATGTTCACACACATATCAGTTTTTTCTGGTCATTAAAAGAAAAAAATGAAGCAAAGCATTAAAGGGCGTCGAAGCAAGAAATGCAGCAAATGACGATAAACTAGTAGATATCTTATGACTAGATATACTTATAAAGTTTGCAATGGTCAATTGGATTTAACCAGACCTGTGTACCATAGATAAATGGCTGAATGGGAGGACAAAATACATTTAATTGCTCATCATGAACTTTGGTAGGTTTGCTAGAGATTAGAACATGAAATGTATTTTCTTTGGAACATACAAAACAGTAGTCAGAATGAACAAAATCTATTTTTTATTATCATAATTGTAACAAATATACAAATATTATCAAAAGGGACTAATATAGTAATATTACATGCATCAAATGTCAAATTAAAAAAAAAGGTTTCTATTAATACCTGGGATTTAAGATACAGTAGATTATATTTCAAGTCCCAGATAAATACTGAAAGTATAACACACACTGGAATGAAAAAAATTGGGATGAATTTAAAAAAAAACAAATTCAGGAATTTTTGTGTTATACACATTATATGGTGAAACATTATTTTTCTATAAAATGGAAGACTGTTCGTGGGAGTCAAAGATACAAAAGCTACTTGACATTGGTGATAAATAATGAGCTATTGTTAATTAATTTAATTGGAGATCAGTCTTCTATTTTGTTGAATTTCTTCAAAACTCCCTGTGTTTACATTCCTTTACACCAATAACACATCATGTTCAAACTGCAGACGAAGGGTTTTTGTTGTTAAACTATCAGAGTATTCGGCAAATCAACAAGTTGCCTTCAATCAAAATAGAATAAAAAATTCGAGAAATCAATGTAATGTAACAAGAAAAACCAGGGACATCTTTTTCATACTTAACATTTTTAATGTTTCAAACGTGATCCAGGAATTTCCAAGTGTTTTCTTTAGTGTTGGTTTCGTTTGAACGAACGTTCCAACATATCATTGAACCCGGGGCGCGTTTTGCCTTCCGCTTTGTCATCGGGTTCTTTCCTCAATGTGGAAAGTAAACCCTCAATTACATCTGTGTTATGCTTACAGTGTTATATTTCCATAGTTGGGAAAATGTCACTTCTACCAACAGCTTTTACCTTGATCAAGTAAAATTTTCCAAAGAGCAACTGGAAAATTGGCCATTTAAATTTAAGAGTAAAATGATTGTCTTCGGATATGAATGCCGTAGAATGTCACTTGGGTTGTTAGGTTCACTGAGCCATAGAAATCAAGTTGCACCAAAAGAGCCAATTCGGTTGCTATTGCGTTTGTATTCATTCGGAAACGGATTAGGTTTTCAGCTAAATCATTCAAAATAAGTTGTGTAGACATCAAGTTGTTGTTCGAACTAGGCTGGTCACATGGCTACAATCACGTTTCAGACAGGAGTTTTGATTGAGTCCTAAAATACTGGTAGTTTAGAGGATCTGAAAACAAGTATCCGATCATAGATTGTACTGCCTTCAGTTAACTACCCCCAGCTTCCTTGCTCTGTATGATATTCAAAAAAACAAGTCGGCTCCAATCCAAAGTGGTACATCAAAATCATCGTCAAAGTCAGAAGCAGGATGTTGAAGTTAAACAAACGAACGAACGAACGAATGAATGATTAATTGACGAATAAGGTGTGCAAAAGGCGTCGCATTCCTTGTCTTAATTTATAGTATAGACGGGTATATTTGCCGTTATATTTTAACTATTTGCTTATAGAATGTCAATTTCCGGTGATGAAACTTACCCAAATAATAACAATAATTGATATCTATATTTTTTTTTTTTGGGGGGGGGGGGGGGGGGGGGATTTGCCCGAAGAATTCAGAGCCAAATGTTATAAAATTACAGTCATTTACCTGCTAGGATTTTGATGTGGCACTCCTTTGATGATTATCGTTCGGTTTTCGACGATTCTCATGGGCTGAACGAATGGTGTTGGCTGAAAAATAAAAGGAAATGACGTTTATTTACAAAAATAGTGCATATTTAAAGAAACATAATGTTCTAAGTTTAAAGAAAACTATGCTGCTGTGTAATATGAAGCATTAGTGGTCCATTTTTTCAAATACGGCGGTACAATCTGCAATAACTTGCCATAAAACTGTTTTCTGTTAAATATAATAATCGCCCGTTATAATAAACTCAAAACATAATTTCAACCACATGCACTAAGTAGGTCAGTGATTGTTAAGTCAGCATTAATTACATGAAATCTGTGACCCTGGCATATTTAATTTCATCGATGCTGGCTAAACCATACGTAAATTAATATAAACAGAAAAAGTTGATGCAAATCAGGTTTAAGATGATAAGAGAACGGCATATAACGAATTGCCAATATTACTGATTACTTACTGGGTAATCGATTGTGTCACGATCTGGTGGTGGTGGTTTAGCGTCCTGAAATTAAAATAACGGTTAAATTATCCGTTTGGCTTGCTAATCAAACTTACAGTTTTGACCTTCTCTCTCTCTCTCTCTCTCTCTCCCTCTCTCTCTCTCCCCCCCTCTCTCTCTCTCTCTCTCTCTCTCTCTGTCTGTCTGTCTGACTCTGTCTGTCTGTCTGTCTGTCTGTCTCCCTCTCTCTCTCTCTGTCTGTCTGTCTGTCTGACTCTCTCTCTGTCCTCTCTCTGTCTCTCTGTCTCTCTCTCTATCTGTCTCTAATTTGGCCTTTTGTCGATAATAATCGGATGCCGAAGTAATGTATGGATAAAACGGTATATGTGTTTTTAAAAATGACCAGCATATCACAAGCCTCAATGGCTCAGTGACAAGGTTCTAGAATTTCTAGAAGTTTCATAGTTTAAATCAAAGGTCTTTTAAATGTTTTCTTGTTTGAATTTTATTATATTTTGCAAAGCTTTACTATAAAGGGTTATGCATGCAAATCGCTTCTAAAAGTCATACATATTTAAATTAAAGAAATGAAAACATATGTATTTATCAAAATTATAAAATTAAAAAAAATGCTGGAAATGAAACACATGATTTATCAACTAATGTTTCAAATACATGTAATTAAAAGAAATGAAAAAAAAAGGATTGTCCAAAATTCAAACTTTTAATTATGCGGTCTCTAACTACAAGGCCATCGAGCAGTATTTGGTAATTCATGTGTCGAGATATATACTTTCTTTAAAATCCTAAGCGTAATGCATAATAAATAAAGGTAACTAACAAAAACCTCCGAGAATTAATGAGTGTAAGGTCAATATTGCCAAACAATAACAATCATTGGCTTTATGCAGCATACATTTACCAGAAAGAGCAGAATCCTTGCAAATCTTTTGTAATATTCTGCTTGTAAAAAAGACTCTGTTCTGTACCGATTTTTCTAATTATTTTATAACAAACCTAACTTCAGCAGTTGTTTTTACCATGTCAAACAAGGGACAGGACGTGAAGTTGTTGCTCAATTGGGTCATACGAGGAAAATGGTTGCAAACTTGACAATTGGCTACCGAGTCATTAGATATCTATTTACAACACCGACACAAAATTTAAACGTAAGTTGGTTTGTATGTAATTTTGAAAATTTCAAATATGCCCATTCTTTAAGGCAGTACACTGTTCATGATGACAGTTTTATTAATGACACATTTTCAACTGAAGTATACTTTCATTTCGTTTGGAATTATCTTATTCTTCGTCCTGAATCTTCTGTTAAGCACGGTAACTTCGCATTATATTCCATAGAGCTTTTTTACATGAAATTAAATGCAACTATTTTCCTCGCTTGAAGCAAGTGTGAAACCACTTCACGTCCTTCCCGTTGTTTAAGGCTTCTTTATATATAATACCAACAGCTTCATATTAGCATACATGATTCTAGCATTAATGCCCGCTCTGTTAAGTCAATGTGATGGTTTGGTGCTTATGTTTTGGTAAAAAAATGGGCGGGTTTATGCCCAAAATGCCATACCAGGATGTTGTTTCAGGATGATTTTCCTTCTCTTATTGCTGGACGGAACTTTTCAGGAGTTTTAAAATACTTTAAGTCAATGTTCCCGCTATCCCACGGGGATGGTGCCCGTGGATATAATTGACAAGTACATACTTCCAAGGTTAAATATCATGTTTATCATGTCATCAAAAGGATCAAATAAATCAGGTAGCTCTTAGAATTTGTACAAAGATCAAAGTGCTGAAGGCACTGCAGTTAGGACGTACTCGAAGGATCAAAATTAATTTTTTTTTACTATTTTGGGGTCAGATAATTCAATGAGTGAGGGGTGTTGCCGGTTGATAAATATAAAGTGAAAAATTCAGTAAATTCACAGTAGTTGATACAATTATTCTATGACATACATTTTCAAATATAATATTTAGGTTACATGTACATGTAGGTCCATCACAAACTGTTATCGGCCCTTTTTGACAAGAGCAACAAGTGAAATAAGAGCTGCCAGAGGAAACTGCTAGCTGGACTATTTTTAACACATGTCATAATTAAGGGAGACAAAACTATGAAAAAATAATCAATTATAACATGTAAAATATCAATATATTTCTGTATCAGTATCAAAAAAACACTCGATGGTCAATATTTTTGCATCACATTATATATATATGTGACCATGTCATTAAAACTGATGATGGCTATTTACACTACACTTCTCATCCTAATCTCTTTCCTTTTGTGAATATTCAATCAAATTCCTTCAATATTTTAATCCTCTCTCTTTTTCTTCAATATTTTAATCCTCTCTCCGAACAAGTATCATGAAATAACAAATATCATGAAAAATATAAACGGAGATAATTAAAAAAACTAAGAAATGTAGAATTTCGGTTATTTGACACAGCTCTTCTGCTCACTAGTCTCTACTTTGTTTAGTTTGAGTGAGATATCATTGAAAAGATATACTCTAGGCAACCAATATTATAAATTTTGATGTATTATAAGAGATGATAATTGTAAAATTATGCTAGGAAAAAGATGGTTTTTGAAACTACACCTCCTTTCACTTGAGTGTTTTCGCTGTGTAAACTTTGAATCAAATTCCACCATCACTTTTCAAGTATTACTCTCGACAAGCATTATTAAGCACATGTATTATAAAGGTAGATAATTTAAGAACTACATAATGTAGTTATGGTTCTTTGACACTGGCACATTCGAGTCTGTACAATGATAGTTTGGAAGGAAAATTCCAAATAGGCATTTTTAACTTAAGGGAGATAATCAAAACATTAAGAAAGGTAGAGTTATGTTTCTTGAACACATTTCACTTCCTCTCAAAAGTCTCTATCATTTTATGAAGTTTACATAAAATCCCTTCAATACGTATCTAGTTATATTCATATTCCGAACAAGTGTGTGAAGAACGGACATCTTCCTAAGTTCACAATGTGTTTTTTTTCTTTAATCATTTAAAATCGCAAAACAACCATAAGAAACATATTTTCCTCCCATGAGCAACATTTTCCCCCACAAGTACAAGTCTGTACGGAATGAACAGATATTTATCCATAATATTACTTGAGTCCATACAGACAGATTGTTAAGACATCAACTGTATTCTCTCCCTTTTGGGAGCATAAATAATAATAACATGCTTAATCTCCATAAATCAGATACCAGTATGAAATAATATCAAAATTCAGATTTTATTTACATAGAGAAAGGGATCAAACAGAAGGGGACTAATAACAACAATTCATTCTCATAGTTTCAATTCTCAGGTTTATTACTTTTCATTAAACCAGGCAAGCTAAGATACATGTTATAACTTATGAAGTATGCTAGCTCTGAATGTATTTACACAACATTGCTAAACATTACACAATATTTTAATAAATTGGAATATGCAGTCATATGTGACACAAGTCCCCGGAGTTTCAATTCATGGAAGCTTTTAGGTAAATAAGTCAAAATATCACCATTGATTTATTTTATCACTGCTGAGTAAGTGTGATGGTTTTGTTTGAAGCCAAAACAGCAATATTTAACATTTTCCTTTAACACAATGTTCTTGACTGGCCCTATACTATTGACAGGGGATTCAACTGAAGTGCTAACTGAGACTATCCCTCTAAAATAGTCCAACTAGTCCCAAGTGTTCATGGTTGAACAGTTATTTAGCCTATACAGTTATGATCACTACATCTGGAAACTGGAGATTCCCACAAATTGTGATGCTAATCTTCATTTGCTTGACAGTGACGCATGACCAAAAATGCATTAACAATTATATAAAATTCAATAATTTGCAAAAAAATACTTATCTTATTTGTCTCTTCTTAGATTTATAATGCAGAGCAATATGAATGTTTGAAAGATTATCCCATCAAACTTTAAAAACAGCCTGTCAATTAAGCAGATCCTAGCAATTGAGGCACAAAAATGGTCAATCAAAGGGTAGGGAGACATTTTTATACATATTTAAATCATTTGGTGCAGGAACAAAAGCAACAAAACTATATTGTAAATTTTGCAGTTCCTTGAAATGTCCTGTAGGATTGATTTGTACCACCTTAAAACACCATACTATGATATTTCATGTAAGTGATCGTTTTCAGCAAAGGAAAAAAGACTGTCATAGGCAGTAACTTAATGCCATTGACAGAAATATTTGAAGTATGTTCTTAACTAACACTATAATAAACTGTGAGCATGCACTGACACTCTTTTATTTTAGGCTGTACTATAAATGAACAAGTCTTAAACTATTTCAGTATGTAGATTTGAAATGCAAACTAAACAATTTCAGTTTCAAGCCTTTTCCTACACATTTTGGGGATACTTACCTAGCACAGTTTGGGAAATTTTGCATCTTGATTGGGAAAAATATTCGGTACCAGCAGAGTATTTTGAATTGTACAAATTTGTTAATCAAACAAATTTGTATATCGGTCAAACCATATTGAATTGGAATGGAATGAAGCAAAATTGTCAGCTTTGGAATTTCGACTCGATTATGATTTTTTTCTAAAGCTTGGACAAAATAAGCATATTTGCCACTGAGAATGGGTCTGGTTCGGCCTGTGGTGACACTGGTAAAAAGGCATATGTTTTCATGAATAACTTTTGGAGAACAGTTTGATTTGTAAAATATACATCAAATATTATACAAGAACCTGTTTGTGATATTCTTCTTGTCTTTCTTTAATCTAATACTTTTTCTAGCTACACTGTTCCAGAATATTGGAGTGATCTTTTATTTCCCTGAAACTATCAAAGAGATATCATCTTCAAAATTATCTAATATTACTCTAAGTGCGTGTATATACAATGTATTTATATGTGTACACATGTGTATTTATATATGTGTCGCATGGTTGTGTGTCTGCCTTGTAATCAAGAGGTCTGGGATTCAAATCCTTTTCAGTGGCTGAAGATTTTTCAGGTTAACAATGTTCATGGTGGCAGTGATTTTTCTTCAATTTTCAAACAACCTGTGGCTTTCTGAAGGGGAAAATCAGAAAAAGGGAAAATCAAATTCCAACTACTGGGAATGGAATTTACCCATACTTTTAAAAAAAAAATTTTAATCTATTTACTATGCATGGTACTAGCAGATGCTATCTATAGGGACAGCTTTCTGCCTTCTAACTGATATAAGTCAGCTGATGTTTAGTCATCATTCTGGTGAAGAATGTGCACATGGGTTTTAGGGGAAAATATAAGCACTTTTAGAGGAAAATATACCTTATTATATCTATCTTTGGCTAGGGGTAGCAGCCTTTATTCGGCTGTAAAATATAGGGGAAAATCACAGGGTTGTGAGGGTAAAATAAAAAATGACAATGATGTTCATTTGTCATTTGTGGGTATGAAGAATCAACTAGCAATCAATAAGAGTTTAGTCAGAAATAATATGACAGTACTTGTCATCTAATGTCTCATTTATACAAGACTTGCAGTATTTGCAGAGACAAAAAATAAACCGTGTATATTCCGGTTTTCCCTGTAAAAACAGACATCCGTGTAATATCGGTCGGTTTTGCAGTCCAAAAATTGAGACAGGGTCGAAATGTCTTGGGGACGAAATGGCTCGAGATCTTTCAAATTACTTCGAAATTGTTAGCGAAAGTTTTAGTCCTCAGAAACAAATTGACATCAATAAATAAACTTTTTATTATTATTCATCAAATGCATAACATATTTTGCTTTAAAACTTACCTTATGGGCTAAACATATGATTGTCAATTAGGTAATAAAGTAAACCGGAAGTTGTCGGATTCATCTAATTATAGGCTATTTAAGAGACATAGATTATCTACATCTCTGGCTATTTCTATTCAATATTCACTTTGCAATTATAAACTACAAAATGTATTCGATAAAAATTGTCATTTTCAAATATTTCTGGAATATTATACAAAAAATGCGATGATAAGGTACGGCTAACGAAGCCGTCAATCGCTTATCTCCATTCATAGATAATTACTATCATCATTCATAGAATTACTTTCAAATAATATCCGCTACATTTCTAATACCGTAATTGAAGCTATATTGCACATGATTTTCAAATAATAAATTTCTTATCTTCTCTTCCATTCGCAATAAATCAAAGTTTTCAGAAATTCAGAGCACTATTTTTCACTCGCGTCGGTTATGCGTCGGTCATGGTCGTATGATCACTATGAATTCAACTTCCTTGAAATATGTAGGAATACAATATAGCATATAAAGTGGTGATGAAACGTCACTGCAGTGGGCGTTACCCTGTATGGTTGGAAATTTCGGGTTTGTAAGTACACTAGTTGGGACTACGTCCCAACTAAAAATCAATAATGATGATACATTATAAGTAAATGAAATTCTTACCGTATTGATAAACAGATTGTATGTAGCCATGTTTTGTTGTATTTTGATTAAGCTGTAGAATCGGCAACTTATCCAAAACATGTGAAGGGTATTGAGACAAATCAGGGCCATAACGATATTATTATGATGGACTTTAACGACACTTTTTTGTTGTCCATAAAACTATAACAAATAATCTTAGAAAAATCTTTATATTTTGGAAAAGGCAGATCGGAGGATATTAAAGCGAAAATAGTTCGCCTTTTTACTTTTAGACTATCAAATGAATTGCCAGGTAAACTGTCATATTATCTTAAACTACTCTTGGCCATTTATGTGTTTTTCAGTATATTATCTTTGACTTATTAGATGATTTTTTTCAATACATTACCATATATTAATCTTTGAGTATTTAGATGCCTTTTACAATATATTTTCTTATACTAACCTTTGCCTATTCATGTGTTTTTTTGTTTTGTTTTGTTTTTAATAAATTATCTCATATTAATCAATTGCTTTTGGTGTTGTGCTTTACAATACATTTTGTAATACTTTTTAATACATTTTTTGTAATACTGACCGTTGGCTTTTAGGTTTTTTTTTTACAATATATAATCTAATTTTTTATCTATGGATATTAAGGTGCAAATTCGAAACTTCATATAAATATTTTAGTCTTTTTTCTTTTCGAAACATTCTAAACAAAATCATTTGAAAAAAACTTACTTAAATTGAATACTAGTTAAAAACATTATTTTACTTTGTAATAGAAATTGTTTGGAGTAATCTCCCAATATTATGAAACAATCTTCAAACAGAAGTTTTCTTATTCTACTACTCTAGATAATAATGTTCTAACAAATTTATTCATTTTAATTATTTATCTGAATTATTCTAACCAAATATGTGCATATTTTTTTATTGCAAGTAGATTATGTGTGGAAAGGAATTTACATAAGTCACATTTGACTTGTTTTCCAATCCACGAAATATATCAGTGTGATTGTATATGCTTACTGTATATATATTTATGTTGTAAAATAGAAATAAAATATTGTTTAAACTAAGGTGCATTTTACAACACATTATTTAATACTACTTTTTGGCAACCTAGGTGTTTTACAAAACATTTTCTGTAACTGACTGATCCGTATCAACTTTAGTCTTTATTGAACAAGGGATGTGTCCATAACAGCACTCCATACATTAATTTATTTATCTTCCGCTTATATATCATTCAGCCCTCTGCATAAATTTTTAAAATGTTTAATTTTTCTTATCTCATGCTATTAAATTAAAATTGTTATCTTGTTTTACAAAATTTAGGTCAACATGAGCGTGTTTAAAGAATTATCAAATTATACATTACTGTTTATACATTCTTTTACACCACCCATCATTGCTTTGTGAAATTTGGACAACCTCGTTATTTTCAGCTTCTTTTACATATGTACTAGTAGCCAGTAAAAATATCAAGTTACAGTAACACTAGAAGAAGAGAACCTCGTTTGTCACTCCATGCTCAATTGATCTGTAAATGTGTTCAGCCCCCGAAGAGAGCAATGGTCATAAGGTAGAAGGATAACTTCCTCACACAAAAGAAGGGATCAAAAGATATGTTCTTAAACACTTAATAGCAGGGAACGGTGTGCTACTTCGTCTTCAGTAACATGCAATAATTATCCTGTTTCACGCGATAGTTATCGCGTGCAGAAGTTACCAGGGGCACATGTGCAAAGTGTAGTGAAATTTCACGTCTTAATTTACGTTTGTATAGTGTGCATTTTATACGCGATAATTATCGCATGGGAGACGAGCGAAATTTCATATTTAGTCTAGCGAAATAGAAGGAAAATATTGATATACTGGGTCGCTTCCTCCTTTTTAGCTCACCTGAGCTTGCTCAGGGTGAGCTTTTAGGATCGGTGAATGTCCGTCGTCCGTCGTCCGTCCGGCCGTCCACAATTGCTTGTGAACACTCTAGCGGTCGCATTTTTGCCTCAATCACCATCAAACTTGGTCAGGATGCTTATCTAGTTGAAAGCTCGGATGAGTTCGAACATGGGTCATCTCGGATGAAAAACTAGGTCACAAGAGCTAAAAATAGAAAAACCTTGTGAACACTCTAGAGGTCACATTTTTGACCCAATCATCATCAAACTTGGTCAGGATGTTTGTCTAGGTGATAGCTCGGATGAGGTCGAACATGGGTCATCTCGGATGAAAAACTAGGTCACAGGAGCTAAAAATAGAAAAACCTTGTGAACACTCTAGTGGTCACATTTTTGACCCAATCATCATCAAACTTTGTCAGGATGCTTGTTTAGATAATTGCGCAGATGAGTTCGAATATGGGTCATCTCTGATGAAAAACTAGGTCACAGAAGCTATAAATAGAAAAACCTTGTGAACACTCTAGTGGTCACATTTTTTAGCCAATTATCATCAAACTTAGTGTGGATGCTTGTCTAGTCAATTGCTCAGATGAGTTTGAATATGGGTCATCTCTGATGAAAAACTAGGTCACAGGAGCTAAAAATAGAAAAACCTTTTGAACACTCTAGTGGTCACATTTTTTACCTAATCATGATCAAACTTTGTCAGGATGCTTGTTTAGATAATTGCTTTGATGAGTTTGCACATGGTTTATCTCCGATGAAAAACTAGGTCACAGGAGCTATAAATAGAAAAACCTTGTGAACACTCTAGTGGTCACATTTTTGACCCAATTATTAAGAAACCTTGTCAGGATGCTTGTTTAGTCAATTGTTTGGATGAGTTCGAACATGGGTCATCTCGGGTTGAAAACTAGGTCACAGGTGCTGGGTGCTTGGAAACAGATGGAGGTCAAAGCCCACCTCTTTCAGCCCTCTGGGTCATCTGTGCATTGTACTTTGCTTAGAAATTTTTGACCCAATCATCATCAAACTTGGTCAGGATGTTTGTCTAGGTGATAGCTCGGATGAGGTCGAACATGGGTCATCTCGGATGAAAAACTAGGTCACAGAAGCTATAAATAGAAAAACCTTGTGAACACTCTAGTGGTCACATTTTTTAGCCAATTATCATCAAACTTAGTGTGGATGCTTGTCTAGTCAATTGCTCAGATGAGTTTGAATATGGGTCATCTCTGATGAAAAACTAGGTCACAGGAGCTAAAAATAGAAAAACCTTTTGAACACTCTAGTGGTCACATTTTTTACCTAATCATGATCAAACTTTGTCAGGATGCTTGTTTAGATAATTGCTTTGATGAGTTTGCACATGGTTTATCTCCGATGAAAAACTAGGTCACAGGAGCTATAAATAGAAAAACCTTGTGAACACTCTAGTGGTCACATTTTTGACCCAATTATTAAGAAACCTTGTCAGGATGCTTGTTTAGTCAATTGTTTGGATGAGTTCGAACATGGGTCATCTCGGGTTGAAAACTAGGTCACAGGTGCTGGGTGCTTGGAAACAGATGGAGGTCAAAGCCCACCTCTTTCAGCCCTCTGGGTCATCTGTGCATTGTACTTTGCTTAGAAATTTACATGATGATTTACATTGTCATTTTCATGATGAATTTCTTGATGCTTTGCTTGAACGCTTGCTAAATGATTTGCTAGTTGATTTATTGCTTGATTTATTGAATGTCTCTGGATAAGCAAAATTGCATATTTTATGGAAAGTGATAATGGAAGATGTTTCAGTCCCAAGTTTGACAACACTGAGATAATTATATTTGGTATGTGTTCAACCTTCTATCTGGTATGTATATCTGGTATGTATACAACCTTCTAATGAATATATGTGAACAACAGTTTCACTTATACATGAACTGTTTTTTTATGTTGAACCTTTACATAGCAACAAGACAATGGCCTCTTGGTCAATAGGGCAAATCTAAAAGCACAGAAGTGTAACAGAAAATATACACCAGTCAGTACAAATAGATAATAAAAATTGAATTCAAAACTACGGAAGTTCAGTAATGGTAAAAATTAACATAAAATACAATTCTATTCAGTGAAATCAAACAGAGACATAGAAGTTCAACAGGAAGGTAGAAATGGCCATCCTGTGATTTTAGCTCACTTGAGCCTTAGGCTCATTGTGAGCTAAAAGCGTTAAGGAATGTCTGTCATAGGTCGTTGATCGACACTCATTTGAGCCAAAGGGTCATTATGAATTATTAGCATCAATCAATGTCCCACACTCATTTGAGCCAAAGGGTCATTATGAGTTATTAGCATCAATCAATGTCCGCCATTAGTCGTTGGCTTACACTCATTGAGCCAAATCAAATGAGTTGTTGATACACATTTGGATTATAAACATTTGGTGGTCACATTTTAGTTTCAATTGTCACAAAGATTGTCTGGAGGAATTCCTTTTAATTATTTGAAAAAAAAATCAAATAAAGGTCATGTGAACTGAAGCAAACTAGGTCAAAGAGGCAAAACATAGAAGAAAAAACTATGTTTACACTCTAGAAGTTACTTTTTGTGTCGCCTCTACGGAGTAGTGGCGACATATAGGGATCACTTCTCCGCCGTCTGTCTGTTCGTCTGTATGTCCGTCTGTCCATCACAAAACTTGTCCGGACTACTCCTCATAAAGTACTGGTGCAATTTCATCCAAACTTTTTAGTACCAATTCTAGTTGTGCATATTGCAAGGGTTTTCCGGTTGAATGATTTTTGGCCGAGTTATGGCCCTTTGATAAAAAAGGTGTTTTTTCTGTGTGTTGCCAGATACGCAAAAGCTTGTCCGGACTACTCCTCATTAACTAATGGTGCAATTTCATCCAAACTTTACAGGAATGATCATTACCAAGTCTAGTTGTGCATATTGTCAGCATTTTCCGGTTCAATGATTTTTGTCAGAGTTATGGCCCTTTAATAATTTTTATTTTTAAAGTTTGTCCAGACTACTTCTCTTATACCACTAAAGCAATTTCAATGAAACTTTACAGGATTGATCTGTAGCTCAAGTCCTTACGCATAATGCACGGGTTTTCCGGTTGAATGATTTTTGGCCGAGTTATGGCCCTTTGATAAAAAGGTGTTTTTTCTGTGTGTTGCCAGATACGCAAAAGCTTGTCCGGACTACTCCTCATAAACTACTGGTGCAATTTTATCCAAACTTTACAGGAATGATCATTACCAA